TGCAATGCAGTTCATTCATACAACGGAAGACTACTCAGCCTGAAAAAGGCAGGCACTTCTGGCCAGCACAGTGACTCATGCCTGTAATCCCAGCATTTTGGGAGGCTGAGGTGGGCGGATCATCTGAGGTCAGGAGTTCAAGACCAGCCTGGCCAACATGGTGAAACCCTGCGTCTACTAAAAATACATTAGCTGGGCATGGTGGCATGTGCCTGTAAAGACAACTACTCGGGAGGCTGAGGCACGAGAATTGCTTGAATCCAGGAAGTGGAGGTTGCAGTGAGCCCAGATTGTGCCATTGCACTCCAGCCTGGGTGACAGAGTGAGACTTCATCTAACAACAACAACAACAAAAGGGGAGGCACTTCTGACACAGGCTGCAACATGGATGAATCTTGAAGACACTATCGTCAGTGAAATAAATATATCACAAAAGGGTAAACACAACGGGGCTGAGTGGCTCACGCCTGTAATCCCAGCACTCCTGGAGGCCGAGGCGGGCGGATCACTTGAAGTCAGGAGTTTGAAACCAGCTATGGCCAACATGACGAAAGCTCGTCTCTACTAAAAATACAAAAATTAGCTGGGCGTGGTGGCTCATGCCTGTAATCCCAGCTACTCGGGAGGCTGAGGCACGAGAATCGCTTGAACCCAGGAGGTGCAGGTTGCAGTGAGCCCAGATCGTGCCACTGTACTCCATCCTGAGTGACAGAATGAGACTCTGTCTCAAAAAAAAAGATAAACACAGTATGATTCCACTGATATCAAGTATTTAGAGTAGTTAAATTCATAGAGTTGGAAAATAAAATGGCGGCCCCCAGGGGTAGGCGAGAGAGAGAGGAATGGAGGGTTTGTTTCATGCGCACAGTTTCCATTTTGAAAGATAAAAATGTTCTGGAGACGATGGTGGTGATGGTTGCCAAACAATGTGAATGTACTTAATGTTATTAAACTGTAAACTTAAAAATAGTGGAAATTGTAAACACTTTTATTGACCCTTCTATATGAAATAATATATATGTATAATTTTTAATATTTATACATGGTATGTTTTACCATAATAAAAGATGAAAATTAAAGCATGTGGATCTTTAAAAAGAAAAGAAAGACGCGAATAATACACACAAGCTTTCCCTTGATTAAAGGAAGAGCCCAAAAGCTTCCATGGACACTCATTTTTCTCTTCTTCATCCTGCATTAATGTGAGGAAATCCTTAGAGACTGGAGAACTTGGGCCAGTTTGGCTAATGAGGAGCTCTGTGCATTGAGCCCCTGAGGCCATAGCATAGTAAATACGCAGCCTGTGCCTCCAGCCCTGCAGTGTGAGCTTCCAGTCCAGTGGGCTCCACACCTGTGGTCTGCATCAGGAGGCTCATGTCTGACCCTGTCTTCCTGCCAGTCCTGAGGACGGAGCCTGAGCCTCCATCACGCACCAGGCAGGGAAGACAGCGGACCTGCTCTCCGTGGTCATGGCCCAGCAGAGGCAAAGCGTGGCTCAGTGAGTGCTGAGGGATGGTCAGGAGCCTTGTTTCCTCATCCTCAGGACAAACAGGACAGTGGGGTGGCAGATGGGAGGACATCAATGTGCAAAATATCAGCTCACATTACTGTGGAGTTTACGTTCTTGGTTGTAGTGGGGACTCAGAAATCTCATTCAAAATTTTGCTTTCCTCCCACACTGGTTGTCCTTTTCATAGACATCTCATGCACAATAGCAGAAAATGAGTCTCTCTAAACTATCCCCTAAGCCCAACAAAAGGATGATGAAGGTGATGATGAGGATAAAGAGGAAGATGACAAACACCATGGCATCATGAACCCTTACTGAGGGCTTCCTAAATGCCAGGCTCTGAGCTCTGTGGTCTCTGCAGATTGTTTCATTTCATCTGCATCGCCTTCTCCAAGTTATTAGTGCACATTTCATTATTATTTTACAGACTCAAAAAGGAGCAATGCATTTTTATAGTAGAGAAGGGTGACATCCCATTTGAACCAAGCAGTCTAAGTCTAGACACATGGCATTTGGCCAGGCCTCTCCCTGTATCCAACCTGCCCTCTCAAGTCCTTGTCACTTGGGAAGATGCCCCCGCTTACTCTGTTGTTCTCTTTGGGAGTTCCTGGTAGACCACAGCTAGACCAGTGGGTGCCACGCTCACTGTAGCAAGTATAGAAAGGGGAGCTGAGGGCCGGGCGCGGTGGCTCAAGCCTGTAATCCCAGCACTTTGGGAGGCTGAGACGGGCGGATCACGAGGTCAGGAGATCGAGACCATCCTGGCTAACACGGTGAAACCCTATCTCTACTAAAAAATACAGAAAAAAACTAGCCGGGCGAGGTGGCGGGCGCCTGTAGTCCCAGCTACTCGGGAGGCTGACGCAGGAGAATGGCGTAAACCCTGGAGGCGAAGCTTGCAGTGAGCTGAGATCTGGCCACTGCACTCCAGCCTGGGCAAAAGAGCGAGACTCCGTCTCAAAAATAAATAAATAAATAAATAAATAAATAAATAAATAAATAAATAAATAAAAAAGAAAGGGTAGCTGAGATCACACCAGAGACCCCAGAAAGAATTGGTATAGGATCATTCAGGGCACATCTCTCCCTTGCCCCTGTTCCTGGCTTTCCTTGTAGCTCTCGACTTCCACAAAGGAGTCATCAATTCAGGGTTTGGCTTCCATTCCTATTGAGGAAGCTGGAAACAGTTTGAAAATGCACCTCAGATGTGCCTGTGGTTAAGACCTTTGACCTCTGCTTAAAACTTCTTGAGAACCGGAAGACCACGAAGTTTTTAGTGCCTGGGTCTTAGAGACTGGCCATTAATGTTGAATACCACCCTTTCTAGTTCTCTGCATGGCAAGGGGCGAGACGTCCGTCCTCTGGGACTCAGCACTGTCATCTGAATTGATTTCTAGTTGATCCAACTGAAGTGGGCAATGATTCAACAGATCGTGGGGGTCCCCTGCGTGATCTCTATGTGATGGATGCGTAAAGTAAAGGCAAACTGAAATTTAGATACATTCCTTAATATTTTAAGCTTAATCTCCATACAATTCAACTGAAATATCCCCTGACTTGAATTTCTAGTGTCCCTGAATTCCAGACAGGACATTTTATGTTGTCCTCATCTCAGTAAGTACTGAGTATTGTGAGAGGAACAAGCGAGTCTCTTTTGCTTCTGATTTCCCAGAGCCTGTATCTTGCTTGGCACACAGGAGATAGCAAAAGTAAAAACCTATGTTAATTATTGAATTGACCCTTCCTTGGTTCACAAAAATTGGCTGTGATCAGCGTGACTTCGACATACTTGATTCTTTGCTGCCTGTTCTTTCATCCCTTTCAGGAATGTGCCATAGAACCAGAGACGACAGGCCAGGCACAATGGCTCACGCCTGTAATCCCAGCACTTTGGGAGGCCGAGGTGGGTGGATCATGAGGTCAGGAGATCGAGACCATCCTGGCCAACATGGTGAAACCCCATCTGTACTAAAATACAAAAAACTAGCCGGGCATGGTGGTGGGCGCTTGTAGTCCCAGCCACTCAGGAGACTGAGGCAGAGGAATTGCTTGATCTCAGGAGGCAGAGGTTGCAGGGAGCCGAGATTGTGCCACTGCACTTCAGCCTGGTGACACAGCGAGATTCCGTCTAAAAAAAAAAAAAAAAAAAAAAAAAAAACAAGAGAAAGAACTAGAGATGATAAAATAACACTCATTTGTGTCTATGTCATGACACGTGGGCCCTCTGATTCTATTGATTAGTATTCACAGCATTCGATTATTCGAAAACCAAGGCAGAGCGTTTCATAAGTATCACAAAAAGAAACAGAGGCGGAAAGAAACGTGGGCAGGTAAACCTGATTGCTCGGACTGAGACACATTTTAGACTTTCACATTATTCCAGAATCCAAGAAAGTAATCCAAAAGTGTTCTTAGAACTTCATTATCGTTTAACCATCGACAGCTCTGTTGCACACTATGGACATTGGTGTGGTCAGTGCTGGCCTATGGTTACTGCATTTAACTAAAACAAAATTTTTTTTGTTTTGAGACAGCATCTTACTCTGTTGCCCAGGCTGGAGTGCAGTCACGCAATCTCGGTTCACTGCAACCTCTGCCTCCTGGGTTCAAGCGATTCTCCTGCCTCAGCCTCCCGAGTAGCTGGGACTACAGGTGCCCTGCCATGCTGGTCTAACTTTTTGTATTTTTAATAGAGACGGAGTTTCATGATGTTGGCCAGGATGGTCTTGATCTCCTGACCTCGTGAACCTCCTGCCTCGGCCTCCCAAAGTGCTGGGATTACAGTCGTGAGCACCGCGTCCGGCCAAACTTTCTTATGGAAACTCTAAATCCACCTAAGCCAAGAACAGGAGTTATATCTTGAATTTTAAAACAAGGTCCACCTATTTCAGTAAGCAATTACTTTTTTGAAGGAGAAAAGTCAGAAAACATAATGATGAAATCACTAGAACATAACTGGCATGTGGAAATATCTTCTGATTATGAACCATCAACTTGAATTTCATTCCCAGATGACATGGTCTCAGCTGTTATACAGTGTTTAGAAATGTTCTAAATCAAGGGAATTTGTGGCAATCTATTAGAATAAAATAATATGTTTGAGTTCTTAATTTCCTTTAATTAGGATAAACGTTTGCTTAAAGTGAAGTCAATGTTTTTATTACCTATTTTTCTTCTGAAAAGATAAGCTGTATTTTCTAGCAATTATGAATTTGTTATATATAATGATCTGGTTCTTGGAATATTCTTGAATCTAGTGTCTCTAGGGCAGGTGTGTATAGCAAGAAGTGAATAACACAAAAATCAATGCTGAAATAATTATAAGAAAATTTGGTTTGTCACAACTGCAAAATACTGCTTAGTGTGCCTTGCTCTGAAATCTGGAAACATTACTTGTGAATTGTTTATATCCAAAATGCAGACACAGTGCTGGGTGTTGGTTTACTTGTTTCCTTTTTTTCAACCCTCTTTTCTACTCAAAAGTTGTCCAAACCATGCAGATCCACGGAATCTAACAGATGTCTCAGAATTCCTCCTCCTGGAACTCTCAGAGGATCCAGAACTGCAACCTGTCCTCGCTGGGCTGTTCCTGTCCATGTACCTGGTCACCGTGCTGGGGAACCTCCTCATCATCCTGGCCATCAGCTCTGACTCCCACCTCCACACCCCCATGTACTTCTTCCTCTCCAACCTGTCCTTGGCTGACATCGGTTTCACCTCCACCACCGTCCCCAAGGTGATTGTGGACATCCAAACTCACAGCAGAGTCATCTCCTATGTGGGCTGCCTGACTCAGATGTCGCTTTTTGCCGTTTTTGGAGGCATGGAAGACATGCTCCTGAGTGTGATGGCTTATGACCGGTTTGTGGCCATTTGTTACCCTCTGTATTATCCAGTCATCATGAACCCATGTTTCTGTGGCTTCCTAGTTTTGTTGTCTTTTTTCTCAGTCTTTTAGACTCCCAGCTGCACAACTGGATTGCCTTACAAATTACCTGCTTCAAAGATGTGGAAATTCCCAATTTCTTCTGTGACCCCTCTCAACTCCCCCACCTTGCCTGTTGTGACACTTTCACCAATAACATAGTCATGCATTTCCTTGCTGCCATATTTGGTTTTCTTCCCATCTTGGGGATCCTTTTCTCTTATTATAAAATTGTTTCCTCCATTCTGCGGGTTCCATCATCAGGTGGGAGGTATAAAGCCTTCTCCACCTGTGGCTCTCACCTGTCAGTTGTTTGCTTATTTTATGGAACAGGCGTTGGAGGGTACCTCAGTTCAGACGTGTCCTCTTATCCCAGAAAGGGTGCAGTGGCCTCAGTGATGTACACGGTGGTCACCCCCATGCTGAACCCCTTCATCTACAGCCTGAGAAACAGGGACATTCAAAGTGCCCTGCGGCGGCTGCAAGGCAGAATACTCTAATCTCATTATCTTATCTGTTCTATTCTTTAGCGTGGGTTGGAAAAGGCAGCACGGTCAAATATCTAGACCTGCAAAGAATATTGCTTCCTTCATTATGTCTCTAATTGGAATTGCTGAGTATTCTGATATTCTTTGTTCTTAATAAACATCAGGATTGAATCCAATATACCTAGACAGACTCTTTTAGTTTCTGGGCAATGACCCTGGTATCCAGGTGAAATTACATCTCTCCTCTTCTTTTTTTTTTTTTAAGGATTCTCGCTCTTTTGTCCAGGCTGGAGTGCAGTGGTGCGATCTCAGCTCACTGTGGGAGGTGACAACATGCTAGCAGCCCTCGCTCTCGGCACCTCCTCGGCCTCAGGGCCCACTCTGGCCGTGCTTGGGGAGCCCTTCAGCCCGCCACTGCACTGTGGGAGCTCCTCTCTGGGCTGGCCGAGGCCGGAGCCAGCCCCCTCTGCTTGTGGGGAGGTGTGGAGGGAGAGGCGCGGGCGGGAACCCGGGCTGCGCGCGGCGCTCACAGGCCAGCGCGAGTTCCAGCGGGCGAGGGCGCGGCGGGCCCCGCACTCTGAGCAGCCGCCCGGCGCCGCTGGCCTCAGGCAGTGAGGGGCTTAGCACCCGGGCCAGCAGCTGCAGAGGGTGCGCCGGGTCCCCCAGCAGTACGGGCCCGCAGGCGCTGCGATCGAATTCTCGCAGGGACTCAAGCTGCCTCCCCGCGGGGCAGGGCTCGGGATCTGCAGCCCGCCTATGGCCAAACCCATCCCCGGCCCGCGGTGGGCTCCCGTGTGGCCCCAGCCTCCCCGACGAGCGCCGCCCCCTGCTCCGAGGCGCTCGGTCCCGTCGACCGCACAGGGGATGAGGAGTGCAGGTGCACTGTGCGGGACTGACGGGCAGCTCCGCCTGTGTCCCGGAACGGTGTCTACTGTGTGAAGCCGGCTGGGCTCCTGAGTGTGGTGGGGACTCGGAGAGCTTTTATGTCTGGCTGAGGGATTGTAGATACACCAATCAGCACTCTGTGTCTAGCTCAGGGTTTGTAAATACACCAATCAGTACTCTGATTAGTTAGTATCTGACCTAATAGGGACTTGGAGAACTTTTCTGTCTAGCACTGGTGTCTAGCTAAAGGATTGTAAACGCACCAATCAGCACTCTGTGTCTAGCTCAAGGTTTGTAAACGCACCAATCAGCACTCTGTCAAAACGGACCAATCAGTTCTCTGTAAAATGGACAAATCAGCAGGATGTGGGTGGAGCCAGATAAGGGAATAAAAGCAGGCTGCCACAGCTAGTAGCAAGGTTTATTGGGTTTATTTTTACAGTGTGAGGGCTTTGGTTTTTCCGTGTTTGCAACGACTCTTGTTGCTCGGTTTTTGGGTGCGTGCCATTTTTAAGAGTTGTAACACTGGCTGTGAAGGCCTGCAGCTTCACTCCTGAGAGCGAGACCACAAACCCACCAGAATGAAGAAGCTCCAGACACACCTCAACGTCTGAAGGAACAAACTCCGGACACGTCATTTTTAATAACACTCACCGCTGGAGTGTGCAGCTTCATTCTTGAGGTCAGTGAGACCAAGAACCTACCAACTTTGGGCATAAGTGCAATCTCCATTTCCATGGTTAAAGCGATTCTGCTGTGTCAGCTTCCCGAGTACTGGGACTGCAGGTGCTCACCATCGTGCTCAGCTAATTTATGTAGTTTTGGTAGAGACGGGGTTTCACCGTGTTGGCCAGGCTGGTCTTGATACTCCTGATCTTGTGGTCTGCCCGCCTCGGCCTTCCAAAATGCTGGGCTTAGGGGTGTGAGCCACCACACCTGGCCACATTGCTCTTGTATACAGTTAAGTTCACATAATGTTGATAGGTTATTGGAAACTCTGACTTTAAGAAAATAATTACAGGAGGTCCTCAAATGTCATTTAATATTGTTTAGCTATAAAGTTGTGAAAAACAATCTGGTTTCATTATACATTATTTTTCTTGTTGCAGTTTCCAAAATCTATTAGAGACCTTAAATGAAAATCTACTGTGCTTCACGTTTACATATTTTTTTTCACTCTTCATTTGTAATTTATTTACGCTTCGCATCTATAAAATCTAGGCAGATTATATGTGAGGATCCATGTCACTGGTCAAGTTTGAGTTAGATTGAAATCACCCAGAGAGCTTATAAATGATGAGGCCTGGGTCTCATTACCAGAGATTCTGATTTACTTAGACCTGTGTGAGTATGAGGATGTTAAAAAGCATCAGATAGAGTTCAGCTGGTGAAGCTCCCGCAGGAATTAAGGTCAAAAATGTAAGTTATAAGAGTTTATTGTACCACCAGGCAATGTGATTTCTTCAAATGCATTGCCTTCAACAGTGAACCGACTGTCATTATGCTGGGTTATTTTCACCACTTAGAATTTTCATTTTATCTATTGCAACTGTATATTTATATACATATAGATTTTCATATTTTCTTCTTGTGCATACATAAAAAGAGAAATAGGAAATATGGTAACAATATTCCTAGACTTCCCATTCAGAGCCTGGTTCTTCAAAAATTGTGTTATTTTTACTTTCTGGTGAACAAAATGTGTATGCATTTACAATGAGATGATTCAGCTGTAAAACAAATGGCATCTTGTCATTTGCAACAACTTTGATGGGACTGTAGGTCATTGGGTTAAGTGAAATAGGGAAGGCACAAAAATGCAAATACTGCGTGTTCTCATTCATACGTAGGAGCTGAACAGTTAATATCATGAAGGCAGAGTGTAGAATATTGATTACCAGAGCATGGTAAAAATGGGGAGGGGGTTGAAGAGAAGTTGGTATATGGGTCCAAAAGTCCATGCAGAATAATTAAGTTTGAGTATTTAATAGTCATCAGATAAAATTAACAATAATATGGAATATTTCAAAATAGTAAGGAGATAAGACTTGTTTCTCATGCTGGTGTTCATAGTATTTCTGTTTTGATCGATCTTCTGTACTCATCTCTTGCCAGATTGGTACTCGACACCCTATTCTATTTCCCATGTAGGTTTTTTGTTTTTGTTTTTTGAGACGGAGTCTCTCTATTGCCCAGGCTGGAGTGCAGTGGCATGATCTCAGCTCACTGCAACCTCTGTCGCCTGAGTTTAAGCTATTCTGCCTCAGCCTCTCGGGTAGCTGGGATAACAGCCACAGGCTGCCAGGCCCAGCTAATTTTTGTATTTTTGTAGAAACGGGGCTTAATCATGTTGACCGGGGTGATCTCAAACTCCTGACCTCAAGTCAACCATCCACCTTGGCCTCCCAAAGTGTTGGTATTGCAGGCGTGAGTCACCGCACCTGGCCCATGTAGTTTTATTACGTAATTCCACTCCTGGTCACTAAGGCTCATCACACTGAAAGTTCAACGTACTTCACTAACACCTTCCCTCCCCGAAGCCTCAGAGTTTAGAGGCTACCCTTCAGTTACTGTTTCTGTTACTACATTGTTTCCTTTTGCCTTTGTCCTTCAGTAACAATTGAACCCACTCCCTATATTCAGTTCTCTTCGTTAAAATAACTACATTGACTTCAATTCCTGAGCTTTGATTTGGGAACAAAGATATGTTGTAGTTCTCTACAATTGGAGTATTTTTAAATGTGCTCAAGAAATAAAGCTGGTTTTAAAACATACATCTTTGTGAAGGGCATCTGAGGTTTAAATGCTGGTTTTCTATTTCCAGTTGCTATGTGGCTCTACTGATGTCTGAGGATTATTGAGCCACCAATTTCATCATAATTAATTTGATCATGTTCTATAACTTTATCCTGATATTAAACGTATGTTCACCAACAAAAGTGAGCTCATTTGTCACCTAATAGTCATCGAATATAAGTGGCACATTAATATTGCCTGTTGAAGTCACATTGTAGACGCTCCCCATAGGTAATGCTCTGTCATTTGCTCTTTATGTCAAGATTTAGGAGGAGTGCCATGATGAACTAATACCTTACATGACAGAAGTTTGGATGCTTCAGAATAGCCATCTAAATTAGTATGACAATCTTTGATTTGGATGGAAATTACAGATAAGAGAAAAAATGGCAGATTTGTAGCTACTTCATCAACCATATATTGGCTCTTGAATTTGGGACCTTTGGCAGCTCACAGGTCTTTCCTGAACCTCAAGATTCCTCAGTAGTAAATTAAGTCCAATCATTTTTTTTTTTCTTCCAAGATCATGCAGTGATCATACATGGTAGTATCATGAACCAGTAAAGGTAGTTTTCTATCAAATAGTAGCCCATATTATTACATAAAAGAAGTCAATTTTATGAAAATTTCCAGAATTCATAAGCAAACTGCTATTGCAGAATTCATAGGCAAACTATTATTGCAAACTGTAACCTTGTATACAATATAAAGCATTTCTGTTACACTATTTAATGTTGTGATAACGATCTGAGAGACTGCCTGAGGATATGTAATGAAATATATCTCTAATTAGATAACTATTTAATAGGTAATAATGGAACAGTATGGCCAAACTCATAATCAGTGTATTATTGATTAGTGTATTGTTCAACATATGGGTTTTAAGGGTTAAAGTTTGATTTTCAACATTAGCTCATCTAAGTCATTTGCTGACTGGACCGGAGTATATTTATTAACTCCACATCCTCTTAATTCATCATTTTTTATGATGTTCAGCTTGAGGAACTCTAGGATTAAACAAATAATGTATTTACCCAATAAGAAATTAGTAAATGTAGATATCATTGTCATCTGTCCTTAGATGGATACATTTCAAGTGAATTATTTGAACTGTTGTGCTTTTTCCTGGATGACTGATGGACTGCATCTTTTTTATGTTTGCACAAGGGCAGAGAATGGATATCATTATATACTCAAAACCTTACACAGTGAGGACAGCTCTCCTTCATATAACAATGAAGTAGTTGTTCATTGACATATGAGAGTGAAGGCAATTTGACATCTGCACATGCCGTATTTTCTTTCCTCACTGAAGCCCTGTTCCTCTTATACAGAGAACTCCTTGGAAACAAAATATATGGTTAGTTAGTGTTTGATCAGAACCGTTGAATGGGATCTAGATTTCTTTAACAGCATTTACAGATAAAGAATCACATAAGAAAGGAAAGATTTTGAAATATTCTACAAATAATGAAGGTTAATAGATGATAGACGTTTTTCAGTTGCACATTAAAAAAAAACTCAGAAAATAGTATTCTCCTGTTTCCATTAAGGGGACTCATGTGAGGGGAAATTGGGAAAAGCTGAAAGAGAATGATTCATTCCACTGCACAAACATAACTTTTTTGTTGTTTTTGTTGAGATGGAGTCTCTGTCACCTAGGCTGGAGTGCACTGGCGCAATCTTGGCTCACTGCAAACCTCTGCCTCCCAGGTTCAAGCAATTCTCCTGCCTCAGCCTCCTGAGTAGCTGGGACTACACCGCAACTGGCTAATTCTTGTAGTTTTAGTAGAGACAGGGTGTCACCATATTGGCCAGGCTGGTCTTGAACTGCTGACCTCGTGATCTGCCCATCTTGGCGTTCCAAAGTGCTGGGATTACAGGCATGAGCCACCACTCCCAGCCAACTCTTTGGTTTTTATACAAAAGTATATACCTTGAATACATTATCATCAGTGAAGTAAATAAATCACAGAAGGATAAACACAACCGGGCTCAGTGGTTCACACTTGTATAATCCCAGCACTTTGGGAAGCCGAGGCAGGCAGATCATTCGAGGTCAGGCATTTGAGACCAGCCTGGCCAACATGGCGAAAGCTCGTCTCTACTAAAAATACAAAAATTAGCCAGGTGTGGTAGCGCATACCTGTAATCCCAGCTGCTCAGGAGACAGGAGAATCACTTGAACCCGGGAGGCGGAGGTTGCAGTGAGCCGAGATCGCGCCACTGCACTCCAGCCTGAGTGACAGAATAAGACTGTCTCAAAAAACAAGATAAACACGGTATGATTCTACTGATATCAAATATCTAGAGGAGTAGTAGAGAAAAAAGCAAATAATACAAACTTTCTCCTGGTTAGCAGAAGAGCCCAAAAGCTTCTATGGACACTCATTTTTTTTTAGTTCATCCTGCATTAATATGAGGCAGTCCTTAGAGATTAGGGAACTTGAATGAATTTGGCTAATGAGGAGCTTTGTGCCTTGAGCCCCCACGGCCATAGCATAGTAAATACTAAGCCTGTGCCTGCAGCCCTGCAGTGTGAGCTTCCAGTCCAGTGGGCTCCAACCTGTCGTCTGCATCAGGAGGCTCATGTCTGACCCTGTCTTCCTGCCAGTCCTGAGGACGGAGCCTGAGCCTCCATCATGCACCAGGCAGGGAGGACAGCAGACCTGCTCTCTGTGGTCATGGCCCAGCAGAGGGGAAGCGCAGCTTAGTGAGGGCTGAGGGACGGTCAGGTGCCTTGTTTCCTCATCCTCAAGACAAACAGGACAGTGAGGTGGCAGATGGGAGGACACCAATGTGCAAAATAATCAGCTCAGACGACTGTGGAGTTTATGTTCTGGGTTGTGGTGGGGACTCCGAAATCTCATTCAGTTTTACTTTCTT